GCACTAAAGCTAAAAACAAATTTGTGGACAAAAGTTGAAGATGATGCAAGATATAATTAATAAACATCTTTTCCATCCTTTATTGCGTGTACATGCTTCATATCAGCCAAACAAAAGGTGAAAGCATTAAAAGGAACCGGGTTTTGCATATGATATTTTGTTTTTATTGCACTTATAGTAACTTGATGAACCGAAAATGTAGGAAACAATTTTTTATTAAGAAAACTCTAGGTTTTTTTTTTTTAAAAAAAAACTTATTATAAATTTTCTTCATTAAGAAATATTAAAAAGCATAGTGACAAGGTTGAAATAATTAATATTGTTTAATTTTTAAAACAGTAAATTATTTAAATAAATTTAAAATGAAAATAAAAAATTATTTATAGAGATATATTTTACAGATCTATCTCACCGGCCATTTTAAATTATTTTAATAATTAAAGGTTATACAAAAAAAATAATAAATTAAAGCTCTATTAACAATAACAATCATAGAAGATAGAACAGGTTGGTTTCTTTATATGCCCACGTGCGTATATAGAGGTATGTACACATTAATTAAGAAAGAAAGTAAAATAATAGAAGACTAGAGTGTGTACACAGGTATGTACACATTAACTCTAGAAGACAAAAAGTCAAATAATCAAAGAAAAATTGTTACAGTAAAATATAAAATTAAAAATTGAAATAAGATATTTTATTTTTTTTTTTGAAAAAATTCTCCTCTATTTTTTTGTTGTTGGTTTTCTAGCAACATTTATTTAAAAATGTAACAATTAATTAAAAGAGATTAACACATTTTAAAAATCTTTATCACAATCAAAAAAAGAAAATGTCAAATCTTTTATCACAATTAAAATGGCGTATTTTTTTGGTTTTAAAATTGGATAAAATTATATATTTTGGTACAAGGATAAAATTATTTTGAAAAAAACTAAACTAATTTGTTTAAAAAAATTAAATTAAAGCTAAAATGTAATTAGTTTTTGAAAAATATTTTGCTTATAGAACGACAATTTTCACAACAATTCGTACAAATGTGTCATTTAGAAAACAACAGTGACAGTATACAAGAGAAAAGAAACAAAGAGGGTGACGATAGAATCACTTTTGAAGCGTGTATACATAACGACCTTTCATATTTAAGTTTATATAATTTAAAAGAATATTGAAAAGTGACCCAATGCAGGGTACATTTTTTTTCCTTCTTTTGCTCTCATCGTGAAATTCATCTTAATCAAAGAAGTTATTGGATAAATATTTTAAAATAAGGTCGCCAGCTTAAATTTTAAGTATAGAAAAAAATAGACATCTTAATTTTAATTATTCGAAATTCAAAACAGTTTTTCAAATGTTGAAAGTTAAATATAAAAGTAATTTTATTATAATTATAATGCTTTAACTTACTAGTAGACTAGTAGTAGTGAAAAGAGTTTATTTTAAGGTTTTCACATTTGATTGAGGTGATAGAAAGAGAAGGCTATCGGAGTAAAATAATTTTTTTTATCATGATGTAATTTATACATATTTTTAATTAGTAATAGAACATGTCTAGTTTAATTTTTTTAGAAAATAAAAAAAAAATTAAATCAATATTATTTTATGTGAATCAAAATATAAATTAAAATATACAAAATATAAATTACTTAAAAAATGATATTACTTAAAATATTTTCTTAGCTTATATTTTTAATTAGTTGACTTGTAGTTATAAATAAAAAAGATATTTCACATATATTCACTTTCTCTTCTGTCCTATTCCTAACTCATATTTGTATATCTCTCTTTTTTCAATTCTTTTTTGTAAGACTCAAACTTAGGAAGAAGGAGTCGTATAACGTTAGTTAGTGAGAATTAGAATAAGAGGAGTGAACTCTTTTCTTCTCATTATTCCTAAAGTCCTCTTCTTTCCCCACCTTCTTGTGTAGCTAGTTAGTAGTTGTGAGAATTTCCCTCAAAGTTGTGTTGCGCAATAGGCTCGGAACTGTGTGGAGTTTCTTTTTCCCTTTTCTCCTCTTGGAAAATTTTAGTTCTCTTAAGAAGTACATGAAGTTTGCTCTAATTCCTTGCATGCATGTTGATGGTTGCATTTTCAAAATTTTCTAGTTTTCGGGTTGAGTTGTTGGATTCATGGGTTGTTAAGATATGTTTTTGAGGGCTTTGAAAATGGTGGCATTTTGAACGTAGTCAACCCTTGATCTCTTATTGCATGTTGATTTTGGTAATGGAAATTTGATGTATATGTTGTATGAATGTTGTATGATGCAATGCACTTTGGTGGATTGTTTTTTTAGGGGTTTTGGAAGGAAATCAAGTTTTGCATTGTGTGGGAATTGATACCATGTTGTGCACGCCTTCAAGGTGTCGGGTGTGACTCTAAAGAGAAGTCTCTATCTCACTCACGTTAGGCACAAGATTAGTGGCGTTGGACAAGAGGAGAAAGATTCATCCCGGGTTGGAATCATGTTAGATGTGGGTTGGATGGTGTCAGACGTGAGGAAAAAGAATCATCTATAACTAGGCTTGCGCCAAACACTAGTGGATGTGGAGTCGGGCGTGAGTCAGTTAGAGACCCTCTACCTGATTGGAGTTGGGTGTAGGTCTTGCCACACTAGGCCAAAGAGAGAAAGAGAGGGGCACTCTCTGCCTCAATCTCGTCCGGTGCGAGTGATGTGATATTGGGCATGGATGAGATAAAGGGCTCTTTATCTTGACAGCGTTGGGTGTCGTTTGAGTAGCATCGAGTGCAACATCCTTGTTGTATTCTTGTTGTTTTATGATGAATTATTGATGAATATTGTTGACTATGAGGTGTGTATGATGATATATGATGATGAATATCTATGTTGTAAGACAATAGATGAATTGATGATGTTAAGTTGTAAGTTATATGTTGTATAGTTGCTAAAGTTGTGATATCATAGACATGTGATTGAGATACATGTCTCAGATGAGATATATGGATTCTAGAGGTGAAATATGTTGTTTTAAAGTTGATCTTCTTGCTAAAGCCTATGTGATTTGAAATAGAAATAGCCAAACCATATCTTAGTTGAATGACTAACTGAGTAAAGTACGAAGTCGAAAACTTGGTTTCTAACTTAGTATTGGAAGGTTGTGGTATTTGGAGGGTAGGGTGGGAAAATCCCATAAGTGACTTAGTATTGCAAGTTAATATTATGGTAGGCCTATAACCGGATTATTCTACCTTGATGTAGTACCATACTTCGTTATTTAAGTGGAAAAACTTAAAAACTCAAACTAAGTTATCCATACCTGACTCTCTTTAAGGCCTAACATTGTCTTATACTTGACTTGGTTGAGGTAAGTCTAATATTGTAGTTCGGTAGGGTCAAGTCACTTAAATTACTCACCTCTATTGTAGGAGATTTCCTTAGTTAACATGCATGACGACACATTAATTGTTAACATTTGTTACTAAGATGTGATTATAATAAAGTTGATAAATGTTAAGCAAGTTGTTAAGTTATGAGTTATGTTATTATCGATGGATGCTTTTGTTGCCTTTGTTGTATGTTATTTCGTTTATAAGCTTATCCTTTTTCTTCTTATGGTTGGGACTGCGATAATTATACTTGGTAAGCAAGTAAGGCATGATTAGGTAGTCAATTGAAGTGATGGTAGCGAGTTATACTAGAGGTGACTTGTTTTGTGTGACTCTTCTGGTGGAGTCATGTTTAGAGTCCTCGACCAACTGTCTAGAGGATGATGTATATAGTTTATGTACTAGATTTATATACATGTTATGTATATTTCATACATTTTACTTTATGCATGTTTAGTTTTTGCTTTAATGTCAATTTTTAATAGTAAATGTGGTGACTTGCCAATTCACTACACTTATAACATCTTTAATTTCATATTGTATATAAGGTCAAAATAATATTGATTTAATAATATCAATATTATTTTGACTACCTAATTTCATCTTTAGTGTCAAATGAACTAAATATAAGGTCAAAATATTGTATATAAAGGGAAGAGAATTATCCCCTTACAATCTCGTCAAAATAATATTTACTATTTTACCATCAATATATTGATTTAATAATCATAATTTTTGGTGATATGATTATTGAATCAGATTACGAAATAATTGTGGATTAAATTAATAAAAAAATAGATAGATATTTCTAAATACATGTGGTATTATTTTGAATCAAATTAGTGATTATTTGAGACTTGATCCTTTTCTCACCATTTAATATGGAAAAAAAATGTTAATTTGGTGACCCATTCATTAACTAGAAATTCTATCTTTCTTTTTAAGAAGATAATATCTTTGATGTAATTCCTAGTTATATCCAGAATATTATTTTAATGAAAAGAATGTGATTTTGATGTTGTCAAAAAAATATATATAATATCAAAGTCTATCATAAATCTATTAACAAGTCATTTACCATATTGTTTATGCACTAAACTTTAATATTGAGCTTGAAAGGGTGTATTGAAAAAATATCTAAATTTCTATTAAAAAACCAAAATAAAATATACAAGTGGAGAGACACCCTTCATTTTAAAAAGATTTTGTAAAAATGAGTTAGGTAAAATCCATATTCCATAAATTAAAATTAACCTTTAGTTTATACATAATTAAAAATATTAAATTAATATGAGAGAAATTGAATAATCGTAAACTAATTTTAAATTATATAAAAAAAAATTATAAGTCTTTATAAATAAGATTTTCCAAGCATACCCTTATAAATATTCTTGGTGTTTTTCCTAATTGAATAATAAATAATATATTATAGCCAATGATCCCATACACGAACTGTCGATCTATAAATACTCCTCTTTGCCTTTGCTTTTTCCTCCCCCTCCTCCTTTCATCTTTCAATACCATTATACTACAATATTGCTCTCTAGCCTTTGCTTCTTTTTAATTCATACCCTGTCCCACACCCTTTCATTGTTCTGCGTCTGGTAAGCCTATTACTTCAAATTCTTCTTATACATATTTTCCAAAAACATTAAACTTCTCTGTATCATTCTTCACTCAATGCCCATAATCCTTCTAAACCAAGGCTTCTTAATGATTCTAAAAAGAACCCATCTTTACAATGAATTCATGACTAGAGTTATGCTTATGGAATTCCCAAAAATCATTAAGCACTGATCAAATGTTTAGAATTGAGAACTGTACCTCTGTTTTTGACAACATACCCCAATTAATTTGGTATAATAATATATAGACACGTGTAGACTTTCTTATTTTTCCTTTTATTCGGAGGCTTAAAAAATTGTTGTGATTTGGCTTGTATATTCCGTTGAATCCAGAAAGTTCGTTAAATGAGTGATTGTGTGACTCCTAAAGTTTTGAAAGGAAATTTTCTGTCTCATAAACTCTGTTGAAACGATTATAATAATGTGTTCTTGGCTTTGAGCCATTCCATGATTGCTCTCATTTCTTGGGGTCCATTTTCTTTTCTTGGTTTATAATTATATCTCATATTTCTTTAAATTCTGTGCTCCCCAAAGGGTTACTGTTGCACCATTTTTTTTAAATTTATAATTTAATCTATTTCCTTGGTTGTGGATTGTCCACTAAGAATCTTAGCAAAGCTTTATCTCCAATGGATTGGATCACCTCTATGATTGTCTTCCTTTCTGATGCTTTAGCTTCTTTTAGTGCTAATCCGAGTTAACAAGAGCATATTATAAAATTAGAAAAGCCGTCAACATTTGTAGGTTGAAAATCACAATGATTTTCCATATAAATTTTGGTTGTTTCATGTTGTCATGCAACATAGTGCTCACTTCCATAATTTGTTCTCTTTTTAAGGTTTTCTGCCTGAAATGGAGTACGAGGGCCGCTTCAGACAGAACCAGAGATCAAAATATGATTGCCTTCTTTTTGGTGAGTCTTTTAGTGAGACATGGTCATTGATCAATTGCAAAATCAAACTTAATTTGGGTGTGATTATGATAATGAACTCTTATATTGTGCTTCAGATTTAGATGATACTTTGTATCCACTAAGCTCTGGTATTGCAAAAGCATGTGGCCAAAATATTAAAGGTGAGTGTGTCTTTGCCAATAATGTTATTAGTAATGTGTTTACACTATGCTTGTTTGTTGTTAACATGAGTGGTACCATTGATCTAGACTATATGGTGGAAAAGCTTGGCATAGAGAGAAGCAAAATTAATGACTTGTCCAACCTCCTCTACAAGAACTATGGAACGACCATGGCTGGATTAAGGGTACGATTCAGTTTTTTGTCTTTTCATTTCCTTACTCAAAGTGGGAATTCATTGTTGAATTCAGAAATAACTGATAATTTGTGTTTGTTTTGTTTCATTGTCAATTCAGGCAATTGGATACGACTTTGACTATGATGAATACCACAGGTACTTATAAATTGGTGGAGTCATGTATTTATTTTGTTATTCATATGTTTGTGTCTTGAAGTGGTGAAATTGATTTTTGAACTTTGGTTGTTACAGTTTTGTTCATGGGAGATTACCTTATGAGAATTTGAAACCAGACCCGGTTCTGAGGAACCTCTTGATGAGTCTTCCATATAAGAAACTGGTAAGTGGTTTATAACCAAATAGAATAATTGCACTAGATTCTAACCAGAAAAATTGAAAAAATAATCTGATGAGACCTCTTTTTTGTGTTTTCTTTATAGATCTTCACAAACTCAGACAAGGTACATGCAGTGAAGGCACTTAGCAGGCTTGGATTGGAAGACTGCTTTGAAGGAATCATATGCTTTGAGACCCTTAATCCCATCCACAAAAGCACTGTCTCTGATGATGAAGATGACATTGAGTTTGTGGGAACCAATCCAACCACAAAAAAAGAAGCTAGTACCTTTCAAATCTTTGACATCATTACCCATTTTGCTCAACCCAATCCCAACACAGTTTTGCCAAAGACACCAATTATTTGCAAACCATCAGAAAATGCTATTGAGTTGGCTCTCAAGATTGCCAACCTTAACCCACAAAGAACTGTAAGAAAAACAACCCTATTTTACTTGCATTCTTATCTCATAGAGTTAACAACACAATCTCAGACATATTTCTTCCATTACACATTTTATTATTGGTCAAAATTCGTTGGAGACGATGAAAATATGAGTGGAACATATTAAATAAGAAACGTCACCTACAAATTTTCCAAATCCAATAAATTTCAACTGGTGATAAGGACTGTTTAAGAGATTTTTTTTTATCAGTTGAACTTACAATGATAATAACAGTGTTCAAATTTAGGACCATGTTCACACCAACACAACTGTTATTATTGAGCTGACCTTAGTGGTTGGTGTTTAAGAGAATGTGTTAACAGTGCAGTTAATATTTCTCTTTCTATTTTGTTGCCATTATTTTCTCATATTGTGTTTGTTTCTATGTGCCACTTTCAGTTGTTCTTTGAAGATAGTGTCCGCAACATACAAGCTGGAAAACGTGTGGGTCTTCACACTGTGCTGGTAAGCCATTCGTATTTTGTTCAGTAGTAGGAACATATATTGCCAAACTAATATAATGAAGAATCCAAAAATTTAAGCTGTGGGACATCACACACTAATACTTACGTAGGGGTAACACACAATATTATTCACATAATACATGTAATATTATGAACAAAAACAAAAGTCTATGTAGTGGGGGATAGTTGCCCCCACAATGCAATCCTAATTGTGCACCAAACTAATATGAGCCTCTAATTATTGATTACCACTTGCAGGTTGGAACATCTCAGAGAATTAAAGGAGCAGATTATGCATTGGAAAGCATCCACAACCTTAGGGAGGCAGTGCCTGAATTATGGGAAGATGTCATAAAATCAGAAGTTGCTTATCCTGGCAAGATTGCTGTGGAGACTTCTGTGACTGCTTAAATCATTAATTTTTTTAAAAAAAAAAGAAAAAAAGAAAAAAAAAGAGATGCCCTTTGTGAATTTCCCCAAGATGGGATGTAGTAACTGTAGTTGATGTAGATGCTTTAATCATGGTATAATAAATTAATATATTTAGTTGATGTAGATGCCTTGATATGATTATAAAAAATTATTAATTAAAATATTAAACTCTTCCTTCGGGCCAGGCGATATAAGGAAGCAAATATAATTTAAATCGTCTCCATCAGGTGAGGAAGATTCGTTTTACATTAAAGTGTAAGGAAAAAGAAAATATAAAGTGAATAGAAACTCAATTGTCAGCTTATAATTAAGTAACTAACTATAACATAAAACAACTAATCTTCTCAAAACAATAAGAAAAGAAGAACAATGGAATTCGAGCCAAGAACTTTGTCACAATATGTTTGCGTTATTGATTAAAAAGGTTTGTTGCTTAGTCAGAAATTCAATGCACAAAAACTTTACCAGGCACATAGAAAAAGAAAAAGAAAAAATGGACAGCTGGGATACTTCATTTGTATATAAATCAAATAACACTAGATGAATTTTTGTGGTACACCATGACGGATGCAAAAAAAATTTAGGTTAGAGATAATATATATATATATATAAATTAGTATTTCAGTTATATATTATAGATGATAATTATTTTTTATATAATTAAAATTTTAAAGTATTTTAAATATTTAAATTTTATTATAATTAAAATTATTAATAAAAATATATTTAAATTAAAATTTTGAATTTACAATCAATAATTTAAGTTTTAATAAAAAAATAATTTATGATATTTTTTAAAAAAATTATCAAAATTCAATTAATGAATAGAGATAAAATACAGTAGTATGAAAGGTTAGACAATTACAAAATTTATTTATACACGTAAAGACAAGGAATATAATTTGACAAAATTGGGAGAGAATATTTTTGGTTAATTACAAAAAATAATGAGTAAAATTCATATTAAAAGAAAAGAATGGAAATAATATTAAAAACGTCTAATTGAAAAATTGAACATAGTCAAACTTAAATAAATTAATAGGAGCATTATTTATTTTATATCTACTTTATCATATTTTAAATTATAAAAATGATTTATAATTATAGATATTATTATATTTTTAAAATGGTAAAAGAAAAATTAGTGGTCAGCTGCCCCAACTCTTATGTTAATAAATCCGTCCCTCACATGATATAACTCTTGCAATATTTATTACATCTTCCATAAAAAAATAATAAATAAAATAAAATACTACGTATTTCTTATATTAAAAAATTATTATTATTATTATTATTTTTACATTTTATATATCCTAGTTAACAACAAGTGTGTTTAGTAAAATTCTTAAGTTAATCAACTTAGAGTAATAGATAAAAGATATTTAATTATAAATTTTTTAGTATATAATTCTAGTTAAAAGTGAATGTGAAAAGAGTTATATATATATAGCATTAACTTTTGCATTGTTGCATAACCTGAGAAAAACTTTCCCTTGATATAAATATGTTGCACTCCTTTCAACTATTTTTCATCATAAGTTTTTGACTGACTCAAAAATCCAACTCGAGGATTAATTAAGAGCTAATCATATATCATGAATGTCTCACAATTATTTTTTTATCATCAATTATTCAGCAATCATATCATAGGTAGAGGATGATGAAATGGTCAACTTATTAGACATTCTTGCCACGCTGTGTATATAAAACAAATCACTAGGTAGGTTAACGTGTTTTAAATGCCTGACATATATATATATATATATTTTAACATATATATAATATAAATATAATATATAAATATATATATATATATATATATATATATATATATATTTCAATTAAAGAGATGGATGATACGCAAGTTGCTTAAATAAACTAAACTCTTAAACTAAATCTCCATCATATGCATTAATTATTATTATTTATAATTAGTTGATCAAATCTATGCCCTACTGTCTACTAGAGTCTAACAAATAGGTAGTTAAAGTGCCAACATTTAGATAGAGATGATAAGGTTTTTGTTTTTTTTTCTTCATTTTTTATATAGGATGGCTACGATTAAAAATCAGATTAGATTTGATTCCTGAATTAAAGAGATCAAATTAAATTACCTTGGAATCCATAAGAACCCATTAACATGTTTGAATTCGTGGTCCAAGTTATGGTCAGATTTGAGTCATTGGACTTTGTTAGATGGACTCAACAGCCCAAACAGTAACACTGAACAAGATATATGGACTGGACCTGAGGAACCCATGGTAACGAGGCCCAATGGAATTGAGAGAAGGGCGATAATATATACACCTCCAATCTTTTTTTTTTTTTAAATAAAATTTTTAAAATATCTTTCTAGCTAAATATGATTACATTGATTAAAACGTTAATTTTAGCATTCCGGAAAGTATTTTTCGGAATAGTAAAATTATTGTTCCGGAAAACATTTTTCGGAAGTGTGTTTCTTACATAATTCTGGAAAGTTCTTTCCGGAACATTAAATTTAGTATTCCGGAAATTATTTTCTGGAATTATGTAACAAACACACTTTCGGCAAACACTTTCCAAAATAAAAAATTTACTATTTTAAATGTACTTTCCGGAACAAAAGCTTTATTATTCTAGAAAGCACTTTTCGGAACAAATAGTGAGAAGAATTACTTGGAGGAAAAAATGCATATGGTTTGACACCTTTTCCTTCGACAGTAAACCCGCTTACAGCTTATAACAAAACCAAAAAGGGAAGAGGATAATGCAGAAATTGAAAAGGGAAGAAAGGGAGGTAAGGAGGTGCGAAGAAAAAAGTAAAAGAAAAAGAAACGAAATGTACAAAGAAGAAAGAAGAACGGTGACAAGGGAGGCGTGAATCTGAAAAATTATAAGTTAAAAAATATTGAAGGTAATTTAAAAATTTCATATATATATATATATATATATTTTATAAAAAAGAGAGTGTATTTATAAAGAAATGGAGGTGTGTATATCATTTGCCTTGAGAGAATACCCACGTGGATGGGCTACGCATGAGTCAGCATCAACTTTGGTTGTATTAATGTGGAGTTAAAACAGATTAAAAAAAAAAGTCAAAAAGGAAAAGCTTAAAGTGTGTATATTAAAAATTTTAACAATTTTGTGTAAGTAGTGCATGTAAAACTACAAGTTAAGGAAGAAGAAGTAAGCAAAGAGAAGAAAAATTTCATACAGGTTTATCTCTACTACTAAGACAACATTCAGTCTTAGTCAACTAATCAAATTCTACTAATTATAACAAGTTAGAAGAATATTCTTTCAGCAATATTTATCCAACAACTATTGTTTCACATGAAGTATTTTTCAAAACTTAAGTACTTTTTTCAAATAAAGCCTTTTGATATTACTGTTTAGTAAAATATAACCTTTTAAGGAGAGAATGTTACAAAAGAAAAGCTTGCAAAAATTTTAGATTGAATAATTTGCTTATCTGATGATGAAGTCTGATATTTGTAGGTAGTTTCTAAAGATGATCGATGTAAATATTTCAAAGTGTGTTTGCATGTATACTTATTTCGTCATGCGTTAGTGTCATTAGTATTTTAATTGAATGCATTTTAGTAAATTATCACTTTTTATTTTATTTAAGAGTTTACTAATCAGCTTTTTATGTTAAAGAAAAGGAACATTTCGTTTGCTAGTCCAAAATAACTTTGTATTGATTAAACACACTCTTTTCGATAAACATATTTTGTATTTTTTTTTCTTTTAAAAAGTAATCTTTGTCCTTAAAGATATCATTGATTCCTAAGGAACATAAATCTGTTTATTTTATTAAGGAAGAAAAATAACGACAGATAATGGAATGTCCAAAAATATTAAATAAAACACTAAGTTATCATCTTAAAACAAATAATGAGTATCATTTGTTTTTTACTTTATAAAACATTGTCATGAAAAAGAGAAATTTCGTGTTTATATGAATTTTGTTTAAAAATAATATAAAATAAAATATAGAAATAATAAAAGATTACAGTACGTAAATCAAGTGAGACATGTATAATTAGTTAAAAGTAAAATAGTTTTAAACAAAAATAAAGACCAAGAGTGGTTACAAAATAAGTAAGTAATTATTATTGATAGAATAGAGAAAAAGAATTTATATACATTTTTTTTTATTTTACCTTAAGAGATATATTGGTGGGAAAAAATTAAAATATAAGAAAAGAGTATAGATGTCTAAAAAAAAGTGGAGACTAAAGGAGGCCTCCTCTTTATATATTGTTAGAATTTGTGTCCTCTAAAGTGAGATTTCACATTGAAGAATAAAATGTGATAATAACCGTTGATTAAAAAATCAATGGTGAATATTATAATTAATTTTAGATTTTATATACATGTATTTGATTTATCAAGTTTTTAATATAGTTGATTAATCAACAATTATTATTATTACACTTTATTATGAGAATAAGGAGTTCAAATGAGAACTATATCATTGAGTCATGAAGAAATTATACAAGTGAACTTGACATCACATCTTAATTGAAAAACTTTAATGTTTTGTTTGGAGAAGGCGTAAGAATCGAAAGAAATTGAAGAGAATAAGTGATAATTAATTTGATAGAAAATAGATAGAAAATGATATGAAACTTATAGTTAATTAGTAGAGTGGAATTAGGTGAGAAATAGAGAGAAATTGATATTTTAAAATTATTTTTTTAATATAATTAGATTTTTATGTAAAAATTTATTATTTAAACAATTACATTTTTACCCTTTACTAACTAGTTATTTAGACAATAGTGTAGGGTTAGTTTTGACGAAACTTTCTTTTGTGAAAAATGTAACTCAAATTTACTCATAAAAGAGTGAAATTAAATTTACATCAACTCCACCATAATTTTCTCACAAATCCATTTAAATCATCTCTTTCAAATACACATTTTTTTAGTTCCTTGATAATCTCTCCTTTTCTTCACCACTTTGTACTAAATCACCGCCTCCCAAACACATTATAAGTTATGACATCATATTTACAAGTCATTTATTTTATTCAATATACTTATTTCTATTTAATGTGAGACACTCATTTATACTAACATGTCACCCAAAATTACAATAACATATTTAATTGAATCAATTAAAATTCTTCACTTATATAACAATAAATAAAATAATCCCATATCGATATAGACAACAAAAACTATTTATCTTTATTTAAATCTCCATTAAACTTAAAACCACTCATACATATATAAATACTTGCAAGCACATGAGCTAGCTAGTATATCCATAACTCAGCAAACTTGTTTGGGACTGATGTGACTATTGAAACAAAATACCAACTCACCAAAACACACACAATAACAACTCACCAAAATCACAATAGGAAACTAATGAATTATAGGGAATAATGAAAGTATAGGTCAAGTTGAACATGCGTGTTATAGATCTTTAAACTATTTTATGCAATGACTTCCAAATTTTGGAACAATTCTCGAACTGATCTTCGAGCATTTTATATAAAGGAAATTGTGTCAACCCAAATATAGAAACGATGATAAAGGCCAAGCTATATGCTAAAGTCGTTGACTTCTTGTTCCCCTCCAATCGAATGGTGAGCAATATGGTGGCAGCAAATGCTAGCATTGTGGTGATGAGTGAGAAAAATAGCATCATAAATCCCAACTTCAACTTTCGAGGCAATGACTTGTGAAATTCCCACAATTCAAATGAAGAAGTGAGTATTGAAAGAAACATGACCACTGAACCCAATGAGGTGGCCAGAGCCACAACATCCATGATGGTGAAAATTCTGAATGTAGAAGAGTTACTTAACACAGCTCTTCCCCCTTCATTTCCTCCTGGGATGGCATATGCAGCTGCAAAGACAACACCAGCAATTAGCACTGCAACAGTGGAACATGACTGAGATGTGTCCTTCATCCATTGTTTTGCCTCATTATGCATATCTGCATGATCTATGTCCAGAAGATCTCCTGGTGTTAAACCATCTTTGTCGGCATGCATCAAGTATTGTCTCGGAACAATTTCACTGACTCGCTACAATAACAAAACAAAATAATAAAAAAAAAAGAAATCAATGAATTACATAATATTAGTATTATTAGGTTTATTGTAGGTTGAACACGATGAGTTGGTATATTAGTTAGATATCTTGTACTCACATATTATGATAAGGATGATCTATTAAACAAAAATATTTTTTATTCCTCTAATGCATCTATGTGTGTAAAATCCTTTAAATCAGTGATAGTCACAATGAGTTAGAGATAATCATGTCATGATTAAAAAAAAAAGTTTACTCTATGCTAGGTAAAGTGTTTATTTTTTTATTAACCAACAATTAATCCAAAATGTTTAAGTTATTAAACTTCATAAAATAAAAAATAAAAAATAAAAACTTCATGAATGACTTTATATATTAAAATTCTAATAAGATATTTTCTACGTATGAGATTATTTCATCAATAAAATTAAGACTACAATTATTCTTATCAAATAAAGTCTTTCTTCTAATTATTTACAACAACTACATATATTTAGATATATATATATTTTAGATATAGTTAAAATTCAAATTCAAGACTCAATTAAATTAAAACAACTTTGAGAAGTTGATCATGTGATCATTAATTAAGTAATTTGAATTTGAATTTACCTTCTATTGTAGTAACAAAGGTAATGATTTTTAGGCCTCCTATTTCTTTTTTATTTCTGTATTTATGTTAACATCATATTACCTATCATAAATATATTTTTCGCACTTTTATAGCTCTCTCAAGGTATTATATAGCATTTGGCTGTAACAGTAATTAAAACATGAATAATTTATAGGGATGGCAACGGGGCGGGGCGGGTACGGGTTTCATGATACCCGTCCCCGTCCCCGCAAGTAAAACTCATCCCCATCCCCGTCCCCATACCCGTCGGGTATGGATTTATACATCTCTAACACTTACTTGATACCATTGTAGCTCATGTTGCAGTTGGTATGCCACACCAGCCACGCTTTCTTCTCTGAAGTAGTCCATGCTTGCAGCTTGGTGCAAGATAGTACGTTTATCTTTACTCACTCGTGTTATCAACGACTCCTTCGCTGGAGTATTCATTATGTAGTCATAGATTTTTAACTGACGGTGCTTCACTGCCACATGCAGTACGTTGAGGCCATCATCGTTAATACAAGAAACAGCTTCAGGATACCTTTCAACTATTCGCTTCACCACTTCTATAATCCCTGATGCTGCACCCAAGAAAAGTGGAGTATCCCACATTGCTGGAGGGTTCTTAGCTAACTTTGAACCCTTATCATTACTTTTGATAAGTGATTCTTTTACTTTCTCCTCCTTCTCAACCCTATCTTTTAAATTAATGTCCTCTTTCTTTTTTGTGACGTTAGAAGGAAACTCCATCGAAATCCTTATTTTCTTGTTGGGTATAAAGGCACACTGCTTCCATGAGTCATCACTATCCAATAGTAATTCAAGTAATTGCTCTGCAGACTTATGGTTCTTCTTTTTATTCCAAATATTTTTAATATAAGGGTACCCTGCATGCGTATGTTAATCATTGATTAAATAAACAATCGCCACACGAATTAACCATTGAATTTAAAGGGGGAGGTGGAAAATTAGTTTAACTAATTTTGTATAGCTAGAATTATTAACACAAGGTTTATATACCTTTTACACGTTTCCAGAAAGCATAGTTGACTCGCGACAGAATGATCCCAATTTCTACAATCAATTCAGTTAATTAGTACATGAAATTCTTTGATTTGATGTATTTATTTATATGAATATTTGTAACCAACTTCTAAAGTCAGTAGTTTGTAATGCTATACAAAGAGTTTTAGATTCAAACTTGTACTGTATACTAACTTCATGAAGGTTGCAAATGATATTCAAACTCATGTATATTGAATATTTCATTAGTACTTAATCATAAGAAATTCCATGGTATTTTTATATATTTAAAGAGTTTCTGGAGATACTTTTGTTTTTTTTTTTAAATACGTGAACATTTGATTTTAGAATTATTTGATTTTTAAGACATTTATCTTTTTCATTTCAATATATATTTTCCTAAAATTCTTAATATATATACAAAATGTTTAGATTTAGTGAGAATATATTTTTATTTATTATGAGTCATGATAAATTTAGATTCTTCACACTTATGTGCAAATTAATTACGAAAAAAATAAGTTCAATAAAAAATTCATAAAAGCTTCCTCTACTTCAACAAACAAAATCTTATTGTATTTTTTTTTCAAAGTTATTTTGATTTTTACAGAACAATTCGAAACACTTGAGTTAATACTTGGTTAGAAAAAAGTAAGTTAATTATTTAGATAATCTAGTTGTCAAGAACACGCCACTAAGTACAAAAAGAGAGAAAAAAGTAAAAGAAAAAAGGGAAAAAAAAAAGCCACACTTTATATTATTTTTATTAATTTAAAAATATGGTACCAAAATACCCTAATTTATAAGGGTAAACACTTTAATTTATAAGGGTACCATAGTAACTCTCACTTATCATTTCATAGTACATGATATATTAATTATATTTATTTTTTTAAAAATGTTAATTAGAAATTAGGTGTCTATAAATAATTTTTCTTTCATAAGACATTAAGAATATTCACATGCACACAAAATATTATGTATGGATGATAAATGACGATAATGCATTTTAATTTTAATTAACACTTTCTCTTTATTAAAATAATATCTTCTAATTAACACTTAAATTTATGTATTAATTATCTTCTAATACTAATTTATTAAAATTCACGTTAACTTAAAGATTATTTTTTATCTATCAAAATTATAGTCAACATTAAAATTCAAACTTAAAATATTTTATATACTATTTTAAATTTCACTACTAAGTTGACCTCATCAGATATTTTAAGATAAAAGAGAGTATTGAAAGGGAAAACAAAAACTTCAAAAAAGTCTATTATCATGACTCCTCTATTTGCATTAATTCAGGCTTGAAAAGGGAAAATTATATTAAAGAGAGAAATAAGATACTTGATTTGGTTGTCTTTTTGTTTTCATCATTTGGTTGGCTGCTTTCTTCATCTCTTGTGACTTTGACAGAACTGTTTGTGGCATCATCTTCTTCCAATTCTGATTCATATCCATTCTCAGGAAGCACTATCGCCCAAATTGCAATTAATTAACGAAAGTAAGTACGTTAGCATTATTTATTGCATCTATCTCGACAAAAGGAATAGACATCACGCTGTCCCATGTCACTTGTTAACAGATATTTAATGTTACATGTATTGTTGTATTTAATTATAAAAAATATAAGGTTGATGGTTTTAAATATAGTAGTTGATAATTCTTTTTATATGCCTTTAATTTATCACAAATTTAATAATAAATCATCTACTATTTTTTAATGAAAATCATGCTCATTAGGTAAAAAACTATTTGTTTTTTTTTACTTTTGGTCGTAGTATCATTAAATATAATTACCATAAAGGTATTTTTGATATAAGATTTTAAATTATGATCTTATTAATTAATTTAAATATTTTTTATTGATCTTAATGAATTAAATATATTTATTATATAGAGATATGGAACATAGTATATTTTATTAAATATTTTTTTAATCGATAAATTTTCATACAACATCCTTATTTATAATAATAAAGTGGCAATAATATATATTAGGATTCATTCAATGACAATTAAAGTAGTATGCATAGGAAGTGTTAAGTTCAACACTTAACACTTGTTACCTAAGAAAAAAAAACTTAACACTTGTTGATCGTAATTAAAAAGAATAATTTGACAAGTAAAAAAAAACAGTGAAATGATTGAAGTGAAGACAGTGACGTACATTCATATATGAGTTTCTGTGAGTCCCATTTTCCGGTCGTCTGTGCTCTCGAAAGCCATTGACATTTTTGATAACATCTTTAGGCAGACAATTCCTTGCTTATCCTCTTTATCTCTGTTCTCTTCCACTACCTTGCTATTCTCTTCCCCAATATTTTTTGGAACTTTCATAGACTTTCTTTGAGCAAGATCTTTACCAATGTTTTTGAGCAACCAAACAGCAGTGCCTGTGGTAAAAAAGGTTACACATTATGACATTAAGCAGATACATACCCGGCCAATTTGTTCTGAACTCCATCTCCCAATTTAGTTTTTAAAATTATAGAATAAAATTCAACATTTGAAAATAAAGGGATTAAATTAAAAATTTCAAAATAAAAAAAATAATGAATAATAATTTATCTAACAAATTTATTATTTTTATTTAAATAAATTTGACTTTTAATTAATTAATTAATATTTTCATTTACCTACTTATAATATTTTCATCTAACAAGATCAGAGAGGATACTAATGTAAATATACTTTTCAAAGGTTAAGTGATTTAACTTTTAAGACTAGTTTCTTTTATAGATAATGAATTCTACATTAGTAAGAGTTTGGTAAGAGTTTCTTTTATAGATAATGATTAAAATATATAATACATACATAAAAGCGATTGTTCAGATATGGAAATATAAAAATATTTAAACAAAACAAATTTCTAACTAGAGAGTACTAAAATACCAAAAATATGAAGGATCTCATTATAACTGTTTTTATAATTTAAAGACGTAATTGAAAATTCTTACAAACTTAAAGAAGTATTAAACTTTGATGATATATTAAACCTCGGAACTTACCAAAATTAAAAGTGAGCAGACAATAGTGAAGAATGGGAAGCTTGAAACCCTTATATAGTTGGTCTGGAAAATGTTTATCGTCAATGCCATAGTTTGCATGCAAGTGCTTGAGCACACGTAGCATCCCATACTTTGCAGCCCTATAAGCTGGGGTTTCATTAGCATCGTTTACTATCTCCAGAAGTGAATCTTTATCATGTTCCATCATCTTATCAACTTCCATGATCACGTCCACCATCTTTGGATCATCCAGCAACATCACCTCGTGAAGAACTGTGTTATCTTCATAATTTTTCCACCTCAACGCATCTAATTGCTCCGTGTGAGATAGCATGTGGAGTAAATCTTTCAAGAGTTGTTGTTGTTTGTGTCCTGAGCGAGCTACTGTATGAATTGCAGTGTTCCCAAACACGTCGAAACGCTCTCCCAGTAACTCCTTTTTGTTGTCGATGATGACCCTGAATTGTTCCCACTTATTCGTAGCCGCTGCTTTCTGTGCTTTCACTATTTCATCGTTGAATTTTAAATATCTCTTCCCGTCCTTTTCTTCCTTCTCAGACATATTAACAGTATATGTGTTGATACCTAAAGAGATAAAAAATAATCGAAAAGTATAGACACAGTAATATAGGATGGGATAGAAAGAGAAATATAATATATATATATATATATATATATATATATATAAAGTGTTGACTTGATAAATTGGTGCACTGATCAGATACCTTACAATACACCATGCAGAAACAATCTATGTAACGTAGAATTTGTGTTTAATTTCTACTATGTATGAAAATTTGTTGAATAAGTATCACTTACACAGTATTATGATCGAGGTTAATCTCTAATTCAGTGAAGTATGGTGCGATGAGAGATATCTGTGGTAGCTAGAACCCAAAAGGAATATTAATAAAATGTTATGATGAGTGATGAAATGTATTCATATTCTTATATATCATTGCTTTGAAGTTATGCACACTCACAAACAAGCAATGATATTTGGTAATACTGAATGAATGATCTTCTATATATAGAGACTGAGATATAGTTGGAATTGTGGTGGGGCCAACTTTGAGTTAGTGAACTAATTCACTTATTGTTGTATACTCTGTTTCTGCTTTTTCCCGTCTTTTAGCACAACTTGTGCATGTGTGTGTAGCTTTCAATCTTCAATAAATTTTTTCTTTGTCTACATAAAAATAAAAAAAAACTAAATTAAACTTGGAAGATGGAGTGCTAGTGTTAGGGTGTTCGCGACAGGACCCAATTCTTTACTAAATCTAAAAGTAAATTGCATGAAACGAATACACGCCATACACGTTATCTTAGTTTGATATTTCTAAGGGTATTGGATATTTGAAAAATCCAAACCCAATTGAATTCATTTATTTTATAAAAATAAATTGATCCATTTTTTATAAAATAAATCAGTTTAATGATTTTTTTTTAAATTAGATCAGTGTAATGTGATTATTATTTTTTTTTATTTATATATGATTTTTTTAAATTGAATTAATCCATATATAAATAAAAGAATGAATTGGATAATCAAATATTTTTGTAAAGTGAATTGGTTCGAATTTTTATAAAAATAGATCAAATATTTTAATATAGAATTTTTTTGTTAGTTTTGAAAAATTCTAAAATAAAATTAATTTGATTTCTTCAACCATTTTTAAAATAATAAGAGTTTAATTCTTTATGTTATTAATATATTAAAAAATCCATTGTCAATTAAAATCATAAATTTCGATATATATGACATTTTAATTTAAAATAACTATTCTAATAATTAAAATTTTTTATCACAAATCATAATTTGTTAAAGGATAATATTGTATAAAAACTTTACATTATTTATATGTGCATTATTTTCTCTTAAAATAATCGCTGAGTTAATATGATTAGATGTTTATCATGTAATCACTAAATAGTACTTTTAAAATTTGAAAGATTTTTTTTTGTACAGTAGCAAAATAATTTGCTAAGATTTAAAACAATGAAAGATATTTAGTTTTTAATATATTTTATTATTTACCTTAAATAAATAAATAAGTATATGTATAGAATGTTATTTCTATTTCTTATTCTCAAAAAAACTTGTGGAATAGAAGGAGAAAGGAAAGAAAAAAAAACTAATATAAATATATATATATATATATATAT